CTGTCACAATGTTATTGGAAAAATATTGTAGACATTTACTGCATGTACTATTGTTTCTGTTACCTAGATATTGTGGCAGAAGAAGCAAGACCAAAGTGATTCGTGCATGAGAAGGGAAAATTAAAAAATTAAAATACTTCAGAATACTCTCTTTCTCCCTGTTGATCTTTATTTCACATCAAACATTTATTCGTTGTAATTCGTTATAAAATATTTCTGTAGTAGGCACTGAATAATAAAAATATAAAATAAATAAAACTGAAATAAAAACATAAAATGATTTGAAATAAAAAAATTCAGGATTCCTAAAACTGAATAAGCTATGTAAAAAGGGACGTTCATTTCATTGTTTAGAGAAGGGATATATTTAATATTGGATCTAAAATTGCACCAGATTTTTTTTTTCTGTGAGAGACGGGAGAATGAAAATTGACCAGGCGTTTTTAAACTACTTTGATACACATTTTATGAAGCGATACCTTTGCTGTTTTGCAGTTAAAAGAGAATGTAAATAAATATCGACATTGTTTAAAGAATAAACATTATCTTATATATTTCTCAGTCAAACAAGAACATAATTCAAATTTATTTTGAAGATACTGTAATGGATAGTGAACAAGCAGTTTCAAGGTAAGTATTTATCATAAACCAACATCTTCTGGAATATATGCACGTTTTGTTAACTTATTTGGTCCAAGTTCTTATTGAATAGGGCGTACAGAATGGTTAGCAATTACCACTTATTATATGAAGAAACAATAAGGATTTCGAAAGTTTACAAATATTGAAATCTGCTTTTAGAATAAAATATTTATTTAGACTTAAAGATGTGCTCACTCGTGATGTATAACTTTTCATGCACTTCCTACACAAATGGACATGTTGGATCCACCACCAGATGGCTAACCACAAAAATAAAATAACATACTCAAATAAAATCAAGAAATACGTTTAGTGTAGTTGTCCAAGAATAGAGAGACTGTAATGTTATAATTTTAGGTATGAAGTTTATTTTAGAAAGTAGAGCAGAGGCTGAAATGCATTCGTGGGATTCTTGTGGTTACCGATTTGACACCTAACTCGACTTATTCTATTCTCCTGAAATTGTGAATTTGTTCTATTTTACCTTACCTGAATTGAATAACTATAGGAGCAAAGAAATTATCTGAAAAATTACAGAATAAATATATACTGTTACTATCAATTCGACTACAAATGTTCTTAATGATTGAAATAAAAAATAGAGATGAAGAAAGGTTTGTTTGTAATTAAGCACAAAGCTACACAATGGGAAACCCGGATTCTAGCGTTTTAAGTTCCTCAGACTTCAACGAGCATTTTTCCATTTTTTTATAGCAAATATTTGTTTAGATTTCCAGCTACACCTCAGAACTTGTTTTGTGTTATCTTTTATACAAACGCAAGGTGTGAAAAACCCGAGTCTTAAATCTAGTTGGAAAACTAAATATGTCTAAAACTTTTTTTTCTCCATGAGAAAGTATAAAAGTTTGCATATAAACAAATCTATATCTATATAAATATATCACTAAATAATATTATTTATCAAGACACACGGTAGTGTGTCATGCGACCAGAACAACGTGCTGCAGGAGTGATAGTTTAGCGATTTCCCACCTTCTGTATCTTGGACTGTGGTAATCCAAACTATCACATATTTTTCTTGGATGAGCTCCACTGGACTCTAACTTCACATACCAAAATTCAAGGCAATCCATAAAGAAATACCTGAGCTATATCATCTCCAATTTTGATTGAGTTTCTTCTTATTTGTTTTAATTTTAAGTACGGAAACTTTATTTGATACTTACTTAACTGTTATGGATATTTTTTCAAGTGTGGTACAATTATAAATCTTTTCAACAGACAATTGGGGGCATAATTGTGGGTAAAACAAAATACGCAGCCAAGCTAACTATTGAATGAATATTTCCTGCAAAATTATTGTCAAATCTATAAGTGTGGGTACCAGTTTGAACGCCAATTTTGATTTTATTCCTTTAAGTCGCACGCTGAATCCTTTTTTGGCCGCACCATTTTTTTTCACACCTAAGGTGTTTTTAATTAGATAAGTATTATCTAGATGAAGATGCATGATGAAAGCTAAAATACATTGAAACTGTTGCCGTCGGCTGGCATTCGTTTGTGGTTGTTTACCCAATATGAGCTGATTTGTTTTATGCAAAAAATTCTATGTATTTTTTCGAATTTTAAAATCATGGAAATAAAAATTGTTAACGTTATATATTTAAAAAGTAGGAAATAATAATAAGAAAAATCCCTGGAAAAACTGACGTTTTAACCTTATCGACTAATCCAAAGACCCCTAACGTTCAGATATAGCCGCGGCTCTTTTAATTTTGAATTACATATTCTGATCTGACGAAAGGCAGCAACTAAGTAACAACCCCTGCCACGAGGGTTTTATCCGTTTTTATTTGAACAGCACAACATTTCAAACCTTGAACACTTCGAACCATAGCCCAGCACGATTATCACTTAAGTCTCGCCTGGATTAGTGAAATCACAGTAGTACAAAAATATTTATAGGCAAATCTATAACGTGTGCAAAATAGGATAATAATCTAAGCAAGCAAGTTGCAGTGAAGTTAGAAAAATAAGCGAGACGTAAAACTATTAAAACAAAATCTAAAAACGACCCTGTATCGTTAGATAACTAAAACACTTGAGTAAATTACGAAAGTCGTTTAACTCTTTATTACTGCTATGTGGGTCCCAGCTTTACTCTAAAGGAAGACAAAGTGATAAATATTTCACAATTTCAATCCCTTACATTTCTTTCAACTTGCCAGAAAAAAAAATTATAAGATTAATCTCTTGACAATTAGTGTTAGGATCTATTAGAATCTTTCTATTATTAAAACATTTCCCATTAATATTAAACTAATTAATAAAGAAAATAAATATGTGGTAATTATAGCAAAATTAATAATCTCTTAGGAAATTTAATGAAAAAGAAAAAAAAATGATCAATTTAATTTAACCCGAGAGCCTAATTTATAACTCTACTTTCTAAGACTACAAACCTATTTTACAGTTGAAGAGATTATCCGTTTTTGTGACACCATGAGTTCCTAACAGCAATGGTCTCATGCAACGCGTTATTAATCCACAGTTGAATCTGATCAACCAAACAGAAAAAGAAGGATTTAAGCTCCATTTAATAATATCCGTTTCATGTCTGCTTTCAGACAACATCAAGAATCTAAATAGAATTTATATCACCGACATAAAGTAATAAAAGGTTTATGGTGTTAGGTTTTAGAGGACATACCAACTCACCAAAGGACGAAAACGATGGCGTGATTTTACAAAAGGATATATTTCTCTCATACACAAGTAATAAAAGGTTTATGGTGTTAGGTTTTAGAGGACATACCAACTCACCAAAGGACGAAAACGATGGCGTGATTTTACAAAAGGATATATTTCTCTCATACACAATAGGAAATTTGAGTTTGCCTGTCCTATTTAAACAGTATTTTTAGAAAACATTTATCCATTCATTGTCTTATCACATACTACATTTTTAATGTAATAGTTACTGTGTCAGTAAACTTGTTATACAAGAAAAAAATATAAGGTTTTGAATAACGTGCGTGTCAAAGAATTGAATAAATATAAGTAACAAAAGCATATTGCAGAATGTTATAATTTTTCACATGGTAACGTTACAATAATTTATTATAAATAGCTGTTTTTAATTAAATGAGTGAATAATTAAAATAATTATTATGTAAAACAGAAAAAAACAACAGATTACCGTGTTTTCACTTTGGTATTTCCGAAAGTTTTACTAAATTACTACATGCGATTTTCTTTCTGAGAATGCAGTGCTAGTTCTATGATTTTTTGTTTACTCTCGACCTATTAGTGTTCAACAGCCGGATGTTTCCCTTTTTTAGCTTATTTTGTTATTGTTCTCTCCCCTTATCTGTTGTATCGCACCCATTAACTACTCTCATGATTTGATGCTTTATTCGATAGCTACATACTTATTTCTTTTTCTCTCCATCTATTTATTTATTTCTATCTTTTTTTTTATAGTAGACGTCCATTTTCATTTTCGTTATTCATCATAAGAATTGTGTGGCTTTGAATTGAACAAAAGTTTATTGCCCTAAAACTATTCGCTTCGAATAAACTAGCTTTTTACTTTATTTGTCTATTTGATAAAACAGTATATTTCATCATTAAATTTTAGCTACATATAAAAATATTCTATGTTACTGTTTTATTACTGAATCACTTCGCTGTTTCGTCAGAAGGATGAAAAACTAGTAATTTGTTCAAATGGACCGGTGTACATTTTAGTAACATGTTAATGTTTCAAAATATCATTTAATTTGACACAAACAAAATAACGTTACACTCAACATCAGCTAAATCATTGACTTATATGCTTCTTTAATTGCATCTCTACCAAAGTTTCTTTTTTGGCTAAACAATCATCGTGAGTTTGTAAACTAATATATACTATTGTGTCTAAGTCATTGTGAACATTTTAAAGATAAGTTTTATAGGCTGTTTTCAATTTTATCAATTATTCACTTAATTGTAAACTTTTTATTTTAGGGTAGTACAATTTTGTACTAAATTAAATGAGCACTGTCAATTCAGATAACAACTTAATACTGAATGTATCTAATCAAGGATTATCTAAGATCTTTAAATTTCTAGATGGGATAAAATATAAACTCTTCACTATACATCAACAATAATTCTAAAGTACTAATGCATCTTACTGTAATAATCTTTTAACTCTGGATTTGTAATTATTTTTTTAAATGGTTATTCTCTCCAACATAGATTGCTTCAGGCAGCATAGATCGAAACTGAGACACTGACCGGATTACAGAATGACGTCACAGAGGAATAAGCAACTTGCGCCGCGTTGCGAACGCGTTCTGTCGTGGACCGTGTTGTCGTTAGAATGTATTCTGTGTCTAGTAGCAGAAAATATTGCTCGTTTCTTACGATCAGAAAGTCAGTGTTGGAATCCTGTAGTTAGAAAATCCCAGTAAAATGGAGGAAAAGAAAAAAGATTCCTAATCTGCTGTATATATTTTACTTTTTGAACAAAGTTTTTTTTTTCTTTCATGAGGTAAGACGATTATCTTTCGATGAGATGCTCGACCTCACACGCTCATTTAAAGTGAATTTCTCCCGGACAAGGCATGAGCAGTATGGACCACTATCACAGGATCTCTTTCATGCCCTGTAGATAATATCATAACGTAAGACCTCAAAGTTTCGGACGTTGAAATTGTATCAGGACGTTCCCTGTTGTCTCATGCAACCCTGGTGTAAAAAATTCATTGGTCATGCCGTTTTTTAATCCATCAGAACTCATCAGCAATTATTTCATTAATGTAACCCTTATCTTATTCACTGTAGCTTTATCCAGTGAAACAAACCTAACCCTTACCGTGGAAGGTGGGGTCTTTTGTCCGAGCAAATGTATCTGCGTAAAACCTGCGAAACTCCTAATAGTTGACTGCTCCAACTTAAAGTTACCTTCACTTCCGCTGATCACAAATCCGGATGTTATTACACTGTAAGTTGAACTTTTATGTATTTTTACACTTTTTCGGTGTTGAAGTGGCTACTATTATCGTTATTTTAATTTAAATCATATAAACTGAATATATTTCAGCAACCTTAAAGTTCTGATTGAATTTCTCGATTGTTTTATAAGAAACTGATAGAAATGAATGGTTTCATGAACAATCGATTAAATACAATCTTCTCGGCATTTTTTATTCAAGTTTGCCAAGATTGGATCATTTGTCGGTCACTGAACTCTGTAATATTCTCAGTGAAATATTCTTCCCTTTGGAGAACTAGAAGAAAAACGTAATTTAAGAAAGAAATTAAATACACACACACATATATATATGTGTGTGTTGAAAATAACAAGATCAAAATATAAAGCAAGTACTTAAATTAATAGCTAGTTAAACTAGAAAAAGCTTTTATAATTGATATTCTTTCATCGTACAAATCGTGTTCATAAAAAGCGTTTGATGAGAGTTACAATCTGAGTTATAATATGGACATAACGATAGCACATTAACGTGTAAATTAAGTACATTAAAAAACTAAAGAAAAACAAGGAGAAACAAATGTAACAAATTTCCAACTTTGTTACATTATGACATATATATATATGTGTGTGTATACAGGAATACTGTGGTTTGTAAATATGTCTCATGCAGCTATTTTAACATTATCATGTTTTAATCCAGACACATATGCAACAACATGGGTCAAGCACAAACCGCGAGCAGTGTAGTGTGGATTTGAATTAACATATTTTACAGAAATGAGGTATTAATATAACAAAAAAGACTGCCACTAACGTTTGGATCCGTCCTTCATGAACATTTATCTAACGAGCCTCTTATCTTCATTATGTGCTCTTAATATTATAACGGTAAATAACTTTGATAACTTAACCATTCTGTGTTCAAACACAATATTTATATGGTAGTTGTGGAACTATTTAACTATTTTACTTTATCTACTTGCAATTTTACGGATAGAAAAACAGAAATTCTAATAATAATAATAGGATATAATTTATATGAAAACTTAAAATATTTTGGTAGAACTTGCTGTATTTAGATATATTAATATATACATATTAATCTCAACATTTGTTTTATTGGTATTTTTTGCTGGCTTTCTGTCACTCAGCATCCCAGAAACGGTATTGGGTTTAAATTCCGTTTAAATTACACATAGTAATTAAACATACTGCACATTGTATCATGTAATCTTTTGACCAAGAATTATGAAAACGTTACTAGTCAAATTATTTAAAATAATAATTACGAATACACGGTTTTAAAGAGTAAATTACAGCTTGATCTAAATAGGTTTTAGAGGAAGATTATCAAACAAATGTTTTCAGCTAATAAAGAAACGTAATATTAAAGTTTAAAAATCATGAAAATATAATAACACAAATAGAGATGTATTGTAGTGAATATAGGACTTCAATCAGTGAATCATTAATATGACAGTTTCTTCTTCAAAGGTAACAATACTTTTTGTTTGATTTCTACACAATGTTTTAAATACAATATTATTTTAAATACGTTATATGGTTGTATTATTTAGATGATACTAAATATATCAACTCATTCCAGTAAATGGGAGGATATAATACCACTATGTATCACATATTCCTAAAATACCCGTGTATAGACTATATAATCTTAATAAATCAGTGTGTATATATATATATACATATGTATGTGTCACACGTTTGAACAAAGAAGTATATACACTACATAGTCATAAAAAGCAAATCATACTTTATAAAAATTTTAAAACACCAATGTTTTTATGATATATAATTTTCTTTTTCTTTAAGTAATCGTAAAACAAATAGGTAAACATTATACAACCTTAAAGCAACTAAGTACTTAACTCTGCAGTTGATCAGGATTTCTCATTACTGACTTCGTTATTTTACAATTATAATTTTACATTCGGCTTACAATAATGTGACCTGCTATGAGTAAATATAGTTAACTAACTTCGATATATATCTGTGTGAGTTATGCAGTACGATGGAATAGTTAATTCTTATTTGTTCACATTGTAAATTGAATAAGTTATCGTTCATTTTGGTAAAATTTTTTCATCATACTAAAATCAAATGCAGTAATATAATTTTTTAAAGACGATTGAAAAATAAAAACAAGACCACGAGAGAACAATATAAAAGCGTATGATAAAAAATTGAGAAGACACTTTAGATTTTGGAAAAGAGAGGAACTGGAGAGGGAGAATGAAAAGTTTTCAAGACTTAATTAACTCCAGTTGCTAGGCAGGCGCTTTCGAATACTGAAAGTTTAAGTTTTCACATTACTGTTACTAGGGCGGAACTTCTGGTTATCAGCATGATAAGTTCAGAATCAGTTTATTGCTATTTTTTAGATGGAGTGTGGATTTAATTTTTTTAAACTACAGAAATTCGAAGTGTTGATTGTTGTAGTTGAAACAGTAGATAGCTTGTTAAAGAAACTTCATTTTCTAAGGCTGCCAATGTACACAACGATCTGAATGACAGGGTTACCACAAGTTCTAAATTAATTAAATATGAGGATTATAAAAGAAAGTCAAGAATACATAAAGTTTCTTACTTTTAAAATCAGCTTGTATGACTAACAATAGATTATCTCTATCTTTGTTAACTATTGTCCAGGAATTTTAGCCAAACGCTAACAACTCAATCAACAATTTATTGACTGGCGTTTCTTTGCCGTTACACTTCCCGTTAATGAAGGTACAAAATCAGCATATTCAGCAATACTTAAACAGCTGTAATAACGTCTGAAGCCACTGGGTTTACGAGACCAGTTCTGTCTTAATCGGCGCAAAAAACAACACCAATAAAACACAAAATCAGTGTAATAGCAAAGTATATTAAGCCCAGTTCTTCATCATTTTTCAAGTAAATGTATGTAAATAAAGAACATCAAGCTATCCATCTTGTCGCCAACTAAAAAGGCTCTAACAATCTCGCTAAACGTGATTTTCGACTCATTTCGTGGGATTTATTCTATATCCTATATTAAGAAACCCTAGGCTAACATAACACTAACATCTTGCTTGTTGAAGGCTCCAGCAAGAGAGCCAAAAATTTACAGAAATAAAATAAAACTATGTTGAGGGGAAATGTTTTAGTGTTTCTTAATATAGAACCTCGCTAAGTTTCTTTTTTACCCAGAGATATCATGAATTTGTTAGTCTGTGATCAATTCAGTGATATAAGCTGAGAAGAGGTTATATAAATCAGACTGAAGTAACATTGTGGAACTATCCTTGAAGAAAGGTGTTAAACATGGTATGAAATTGGAACCCACAACAACAGGCAGTTAATAACACTTATTGAAAATAGCATATTTATTACGATATCTAATATTATTCATTGTCCGACCCTTAATTATGTATTATTAAGGTAGGAAAGTTTATCCGGTAAAACATAGGGTGTTATATCTCAGATAAAGTCACTAAAATACTTTAAAGTTGCTTTATATGCGAAAACGTTTGGCATTACGCCAACGATCGTGATTACAAACACTTTACACCTTGTGTTTGTTTGTTTGAAGTTAGTTAAGCACAAAACTGCACAATGGGCTATCTTTGCTCTGCTCAACACGGGTACCGAAACCCGGTTTCTAACGTTGTAAGTCCGCAGAGATACCGCTGTGCTACTGGGGGGCGCACCTTGTGTACTATAGTTTATATTCCTTTGATTAATTATCAATTTATTTATGTTTCTGTATGTTCACTAGTGAAGCTGGGCAAAAAAGATATGACACATTTATAAACTTCTCCATGAGTTTATCCTGTGAAGTTTGTGAAACTTGCATATAGCTGTAACGTTAATTATTTATTCACGAAAACAAATAACTGTTTGATTGAACCCTAAAGAGAAAACAGCCTTATAATCAAGCACAGTAGTGTTTAGTATGTAGGGATGGACCGAGAAAAAAAATGGTTGCCGCATTCAATCTATTACTCAATGATGCTTACAAATTATGCCTTATTTGGACACCTAATTGCCATTATCTAACGTTTCATAGCTTGTGGGACTCCCAGTATCATTGAAAAGTGTTGCTAAAGTGGAGAACTGGGAACTATCTAAATAGCCAAAGTGTCCATTTCTTTTTTCTTTTCCCAAATTAGCCAAAAAACGTGTGAAGTTTTCGCAATGGCCTTTGTACTACAGAAAAGTATTTTGAGTTTAATAGGGAACAGGCTATCACTTAGTACTGTAGTGGTTAATATAAGCTAAAAAACACACACACATAATTCTAATGTAAACTATGTTATCATTATCCCTTGAAGTTAGCTTTCTTACAGATATTTGATGTTCTTTTAAAAAACTTACGTACAGGGTGAAATAGGAATTCCCAACCAATAATAGATGAACATTAAATGACTGTAACATGTAGAATACTCGATGCTTTGTACACTGTATAATCGGTGTCTCTATGGAGCCAACCCCTATGTTATGTATGAAGTGAAGGAGCAAAAAAAAAAAACTAAATAAACATAATATTAAATTTTATTACACAGATTCAAAGAATACACTCACTTTCAGTTAGGGGGGAAAAAGTCACAAAACAAGTAATAAAAACATTTTTAAATGTAAAATGATGTAGGGATGGCAGTACCGACAATAATGTTCTTTCCTTATTGTAGGTTCCTTAACATTAAGTCCCAAGAAGACAAGATTAAGACCAGTAATGATCAATAATCTATTGTGGCCAATTGTGCGTTATAATGTCAACGTTTGAGGTCATTCTACAAGTGAAATGAAGAAACTGACAAAACTGATATGATATTAACAATATATATATTATCATTGAATTAGAAAAATAAAGCAAAATATTCTTAATATTAACCGACTTCAATGAAACTGTTTAAAAAAAGAGGAGAAACAAGTAATAAAAACAACTTTGTAAAAATTAACTATGATGTAGGGATGACAATGCCAAAATGTACAGAAACAAGTTAAGTATGAATACACAAAAC